AAGCCACCATAATTGGAGTAAAAACTTCCTAAGGCCAACAACCACCCTAGCCGAAATTCATCCTCCACCATTCCACATCCATTCTTTCATATTTCATCCAAAATCCCATCAACTCCACATATAATTACATCATTTCTCATCACATATTAATAAATCAATTCTCATCACATACTAATGAATCAATTCTCATCACATGCTAATGACCCAATTCTTATCACATACTAATGAATCAATTCTCATCACATATTAATAATTCACTTCTCATGGCATGAGATTCACATATCAAACAACCTCAATTTTAATCCATAATTCTCATTATCCAAACATACATACAACATAAAATAAATTACTCTACACAAGTATTTATCCAATCAAAGTTAAATTGGATTTACTTACCTTGAATTTGAGCAACTCCAACACTAAAATCTCTCTTGGGTAGAATTCACTTTCCTCTTAAACCTTAAGCATATACAACCATAAGAATTCAAAACTTTAAAAATTAATCTCGCTTCTTGGTGCAAGAATCTTACCTTTGGATGCTTATGATTGAAAATCTACCAAAATTTAGCCAAAATCCTATGAATTTCCTTGGAAATTTAGTAAAGAAAATTGAGAGAATTTGGGTAGAGAGTGGCGTGAATGGAGGGGAAGAGTAGCTAGGGTTTCTCCTCTTGAACTCTTAATATCATATAATAATATATATAGTTTCTCATTTTACCCTTGCACTTTCTAAAAATTATTTCTCTGTCTCTTAGTCAATTACACGAATGTCCTCATTTCTATTATCTTCTCCATGTTATTCTATTTATTTTCACTCCCCACTCATTCATCTAATTATGAGTGAAATGATCATTTTACCCCTAACAATGTTTTAAAGAATTTCCTTCAGATAGAGATTCCAGATTTGTGTCAACTTTCTAGACCAGTCTACAAAGAAACTTGGGTACCAGGTTAGCATTTAGTACAACATACTACCCTCAGATAGATGGTCAAATTGAGAGAACAAATCAAGTACTTGAGGATAGGATATGTTGAGAGTGTGCTGTATGGATTATAAAATGACTTGGCATGAGATGTTACCATTGGTGGAATTTGCTTATAATAACAGTTATCAGTCCGCCATTAAGATGGCTCCTTATGAAGTCTTATATGGTAGACGATGTAGGTCCCCACTGCATTAGAATGAAGTAGGAGAGAAAGACGCTTTGGAAATAGCTCTTGGGCCCGAGATAACTCAAAAAATGATAAAAGATATCAAGTTGATCAGAAATAGAATGAAACAAGTCCAAGACAAACAAAAGAGTTATGCAGATTTAAAGAGAAAAGATGTAGAATTTGAAGTGGGTGACAAGGCGTTTATTAAAATTTCCCCCTATAAGCGAATAATGCGTTTTGGCGGAAAAGGGAAGCTAGCTCCGAGATACATTGGTCTCTTTAAAGTGTCACAACGAGTGGAAAAGGTAGCTTACAAATTGGTGCTACCACCAAATATGGATAGAGTGCATAATGTGTTCCATGTCTCCATGCTTCAAAGATATGTTAGTGATCCCTCCCATATATTAAAAGTAGAAGAAGTGGACGTAGAAGAAGTGGACTTAGAAGAAAATCTTGTTTATGAGAAGCGCCCAGTGCAAATATTGGACAGAAAGGTTAAGGAGTTCCGAAACAAGAGTATTCCATTAGTAAAAGTCCTATGGAGGAATCATAAAGTAGAAGAAGCTACATGGGAAGTAGAACGAGATATGCAGAACCGCTATCCCGAATTGTTCATTTGAATTTTCGGGACGAAATTCTTATAAGGGGAGAGAATTGTAACGCCCACATGAAGGTACGTAGCTTTATTTATGCCCTAATACCCTTAATTAAATTTTGTTAAAGTTATCTTAGACAAGTGTTAAGGAAATTCTTTAAAAGATTATTAGGAGTAAAATGGTATTTTCATTCATCATTAGTTGAAAAAGTGGGGAGTGAAAAGTAAAATAACATGGAGAAATTAATAAAAATGAGGGCATTTTTGCAATTGACTAAGAGACATAGATGAAATTTTTAGAAAGTGCAAGGGTAAAATGGAAAACTATATATATATTATTATGTAATAAGAATTCAAGAAGAGAAACCCTAGCCACTCCACCCATAGTTCACGCCACCTTCACCCTGAATTCTCTCAAATTTCTTCACTAAATTTCCAAGGAAATTCATAGGATTTTGGCCAGATTTTAATAGATTTTCAATCCTAAGCATTCAAAGGTAAGATTCTTGCACCAAGATGTGAGATTAAATTTTAAAGTTTTGAATTCTTATGGTTTTATATGCTTAGGGTTTAAAGAGGAAAGGGAATTCTACCAAAGAGAGATTATAGTGTTGGAGTTGCTCAAATTCAAGGTAAGTAAATCCAACTTTAGCTTTGATTGGATAAATACTTGTATAGAGAACTTTTTATATGTTGTATGTGTGTTTGGATGATGAGAATTATGGATTGAAAATTAAGGTTGTTTGATATGTAAATTTCATGGCCATGAGAAGTAATTTATTATATGTGATGAAAAGTAATTTGTTAGTATTTAATGAGAAGTGACTTATTAGTATGTGATGAGAATTGATTTATTAGTATGTGATGAGAATTGATTTATTGGTATGTGATGAGAAGTGATATATTTGTATGTGTTGAGTTGATGGGATTTTGGATGAAAAAAATAAAAGAATGGATGTAGAAAGGTGGAGGATGAAATTCGACTAGGTTGATTGTTGGCTTTAGGGAGTTGTTTGCTCCAATTTTGATGACTTGAGAGATATGTGGAAGTATAACCAATTTAGGGTTTATATGTGCATGTAAAGTGTTTGATGAAATGTCAAAGAAAGTGTATATAAATGAGTATATTGGATTATTACTTTGTTATGGAAATGTTGTTGGTAGAGAATACTAGTTCCATAATGATATATTTATATGTCATAATTCATTTTTACATTTGAGCATTTGCATTTAGAAAGAATAGCAAAGAATGAGCATATTTACATGCACATATACATGTATGAGAACATTAAAGAATAAAGAAAAAGAAAGAAAAGCAATTAAATATAGATTTATTGTTTTAAGAAATATAATTAAAGAACAATTCAAATCTGAAATTTTACTTAAAGAAATATAAAAAGAGAAGAGAAGAGGAGGTTGTTGCGATGGGGAGCCCATGAGTGTCAGAGAAGAATAACCTCGCATGCACGCCGCCTTTAGTGAGCGGCCTTACAATAAGAAAGAAGAATTTGTACAGTTCGTAAGAAGTGCATGTGGATGAAGACTGTACCCAAGAAAGAATTTGAAAATACACTCACGCGGCCAGGGTTCCGAATCCATGCCTCAACCGAATCCGATCGGCAAAGAAATAATAGAAAAGAAAGAAATAAAAGAATAAAAAAGAAAAGAAATAAAAGAATAAAAAAGAAATAAATAAAAGAATAGAAAAACAAAAAAAAATAAACAAAAAAAAAAAAAACGCAGAAAAAGAAAGAAAAACAGAATAAGAAAACAGAAAAAGAAAAAAGAAAATGCATTGCATAGAAAAAGTTTATGCATCATGCCATTTCTACTATCCCGAGTTAGTTTTCCTATTTGTGTTTACATATCGATAAGTGAGAAACTAGAATCGTAGGAAACAAAGCAGAATAAAAAAGCTTGGTGTAAGGAAAGAAAATTCAGAATCTGAGTAACGAAGAAAGAATAGAAGTATTGTGAGTTTTACTTACTGAGCAATTAGTGTTCAACCCATTAATTTCACTGTTTTTGCAGATAGTAGATGAGATGCAGTCAGATGGGACGTCAAGTAGCAGAGGAGAAAGGCAACACTGTCGGACTGTATTTTTGAGTTTATTTTTGTGAATATGGTACTTGATGTAGAGATTTGTATATAAAAGTAATGCTATTTTTAGGCCCACTACCTTATACATATATCCATATATGTTTTTCTATGATATATTTAGTGAGTTTTCATTTTATACCTCCCAAGTATACTAGCTAAAAAGAACATTACATTTTTGGTCTAAAAGAAACAGAATTAATTAAAAAGAAAAAAAAGAATATATATATATATATATACACTAAATTAAATATATTTAAAATAACCTCATAGAGTTCATCAGATATAAGCGCTGCCCAAACAGACACCTACATGCTTTTCAAGATCTGGCTGCTTACCAGCAGCTGAAAACATAGCTGTAGCACAGAAATTTTATATGCAATTATTGAGAATAATCTGAAAAGCATAAATAGATAAATTCACCTTTGTCACATTTGCCAATGAAAAGTCTGCCCCTCTTAGATCAGCATCCGAAAGATCAGCCCCTGATAAACGAAAAAGGAAAAGCAATAGATAATAGACACTACTAAATTAGCCCCCCAAAAAAGCGCCTTCTGATGATTACTATATGCTATAGCCCTCAAACGGAAACATTATATAGATTTGTTCGTTCTAAGCTAGATAGTTCAAGCTCAAACACATTTGTAATGTGGAATCAATGCCGCTTGGAAACAGCCATACTCATGTGAATTTAATTTGTTGCTTGATGATGAGGAATAAAGCAAAGATCAAATATAAAATAAAACCTCATTACTTTATTCCCTGAGAAAAGAATTTACCTGTTAAATCTGCATCAAAGAAGCTAGCACCTAGTAACTTCGCACCTTTAAAATTGGTTTGTCTCAATATAGACTGAGCAGATGAAACAAACCTATTTCTCAATTATCACTCCATTCCAAATATCACAACCACCACACCTCAAATCTGCCATAGCAGCCACCCAACCACCACCACCTAAAATTGCAACATTTCAATGATAATACCAATAATAACAGAAAACAAAATACAAGAACCAAAAACAAAATCAAAAAATCAAACAAAAAAACAGAAAAGAGGTCGATAGAGGGGTTTTGGTGTGGTGGCATCGGAAATCATCCCCAATGCGCACAATGTGTTCTGTGTTGGGCCGGGGATGCTGAGTGAGGCGTTTCTTCAAGCAGGTGGTGGATGTGATCTGGAGATGAGAGGTTGTGTTGATGGAATTTTTCGATGACCATTGTACACACAACAAAAACAATGAATGTGAAGGGACACCCACATCTGTACATTCAATTCAACAAAAACAGTGAATCAAAAGATATTTAATGCGAATGTAAAACGTTTGGGTTGATGTGTATGTGAAGGGACACCCACATCTGTAACCTTTGACATTCAATTCAACAAAAACAATGAATCAAACTAAACCAATAACATATAACATACAACACTTGTAACAATTATAGAGATTTTTGGGAATCCTACGTGGAGTCCATATGGCGATCAATAGAGAGGGTGGGCTTCAAGATTATATAGATATATAGATGATTAATCCTCTGATATCTACTTATTGGTGTACTTGAGATACATTTCCTCTAGCATCTAATAGAAATTGAATTAAACTGATCACTCATCCTAAAATTAGCACTCATTTTTGTGCAGATATTTACTTATAGCATACACGTCTTAATTGCATTAAATCAAGCCACAAAAGAAAAAAGAAAAAAATGCTGAATATGAAGTGTGTAAAAAATAACTCCACTGACGAGAGAATAAAATTGTTTAAGGTCATTTGTTTTTCTTTTAAAGATAAAATAAATATATATAGTCATCAACTTCGTTTTCTTCTATTTTCTTTATGAATACAAATAATTAGCCACCACTTACAGGAGGGATAATGGCCAATTGATCTTTGTCTTTAACAATAATCGAGTCATTTGCATATTCCTCGTTTAAAGCAAGAACCATGCAGCCACGGACCTCTTCCAAGCTTGGAAACTTTGCAACAAGCTTGTTCAAGCAATCTTCAGTTGTACTACCATATGATACTTCCAGTGGCAAATCACTTAAACCGGTTAAATCTCGAGCTCTAGCAAAGAACAATACCTTTATTTGAACCGACGATTTGTTGTTCTCTACAGATATACGGTCTGAATTCCTAGACTTGGTTTCTCTTTCCGTAGCATCCATAGTAGATACAGAAATGTGTCAATTAAAATGGAACTTCTCACTGCAACAATTATGCTACAATGTCAAATTCTAAACCGTGATAAAAATCAATATCAAGAAGTGACATAATTGCCAAGAGTTACATCAGAGAGAACAAGAATCTAAGTTCTCTGAACAAAGAGTCCAGATAATCATTTGTAAACGAAAGTAATCAAATCAATCCAACATTGTCCCATAACTCACAAGTAGAAGGCATTCAAAGATTCATCGAAGTCAAGTTTATAACCTATTCTTACAATGGTTGAATTTTTTTTTGCCAGACAACGCCCAACCAAAAAATGTTTCAAATCCTAGAAGATAAAATCACTATAACATGCCTGCTAGAAGAACTTATTCCCCTTGATAAACTAGAATCTAAGTAGGTCATCTCACCCTAAAGACCTAACAAGAAAGATTGGTGCTAGCACTGTAATCATAATATCTGCAATGAGAGAGTGGATTTTAGGCTATGCCTTTCCCAGCAAATAGAGCAAATATGTAAATTTGAGCATAAGTTCCCGGTGGCAGAGCCACCTTATGCCTCAGATAAAAGATTACATGGTGTCAATTAAAACATATAACCCTACTTATTTCATTTCCTAAGTTTTGGCACCCCCATTTGCTTCATTTTACATCATTCCAAATTGACCCCTATCTCAAACACTAATAGTCCTTGTATCAAATAATGTATACCTTTTCCATCATGTTGAGGTGAAGGAAACCTGCATAAATTCAAAGTTAAACTCAGAATGTTAGTACTGATATGCGTATGAAAGTATCAAGAAACAAGTTGAAGACCACTCTGTTAACGTGTATCACTGTATTGTATATTGAGGTTTAGCTTGAGCACATACTTCAGGAAACAAACAGAACCCAACATTCTATTCAAGAAACCATTCAGGACGGCAGTATAATCTCCCCTAACATCAACAGTATGCTTTTGCCCTTTTGTCAAATTTCAGAAATTAACCGAGTGAAATCTTTTTTTAACTGCAATTCAAAATAAGAAAGTAGTGAACCATCAACTACAAAGAGCCACAATTTTGCCAGATAATCATAGGGAGTTTGGGAAGTGCCTCTGGAAAATGTTGTCAAATAGTTAAAAGCTAAAAGCTGTAAGCTCTATTGTAGTGTCTAGCTGAAACCAATAAAAATGCTTTTAAACAAGTGCTTTTGGGAGAAGCACTAGATAATTCTCTATTTATCTCGTGGCAACAAACAGCTCTTAAAGAGTAAAGTGAGTTTTAAAAAAACACTTAATAAACATTTTCAGAAAGGTACACTTAAGTGCTTTTATGAAAAGCACTTCTACTAAAAAAACACTTCCTTCAAAATCAATTTCAAACCCAGCTCCACAAAATTAACCCAAAGCCACTTTTGAAAATTTAAAAGCACTTCTGGCAGTTCCCAAAGCACTCTCAAGTCCAACACACACTATACTTTTGGCTCTTAATTAGCACAACCAGCATTCAAAAACAACAAAACCTTAATTATTTCAGCTCCCACAAAGAGGAAAAAAAAGTCCTTGCTCTAGATATCACATATGTCACTCATACCCAGAAAAAAAAATTAAATTAAAACAGAAAAATAATATAATTCATGAATCAGTAAATTGAATAGTTACAAGCAATGAATCAGGATTATATTAATCTACAGAAGTATAGAACCAAATTTAAACTAAAACCCAGCAAACAAATTCAAAGAATGTAAAGCTATTGTAAAGGAGAGTTACCGGGAACCTGAAGAGAAGGTCGTGGGGGAGACGGTGGAGCGTTGAGAGAAGAGGAAGAAGAAAATGAAGCAAGAAAATTGAAATAAGAATTATTTGTGGATTTATTCTCAGGATTAAATCTTATTCTTTTCTAGTGTTTGGCTTATTATTTTTATACATATTTCCAATCCTATTCTCCAAATCATATTTGTCACATTATTTCAGAAATATTATCCTATTTTTTTAATTACTTTAGACCTCATAAGGTTATTAATTTCATCAAATACACCCTAAAAAAAAGTTTAAAAATTATCAAAAACACCCCTACAACCCATACTTGTCAGATTCTGACAACCACCGTCGGTGATAGCCGGAATCTGTACAACGGCCTATCTGCCAACTAGAAATGGCCGAAAGTTCACCGATCTAGCCTTTTCCGACCAGATCCACCACGGATCTGGCCAGAAAAGGCCAGATCTGGCCGTGAAATGGCCGTCGTTCAGGTCAACGACGGCCAAATCTTGGCCATCGTTGACCAAAAACGACGGGCATATCTTTGGTCATCGTTTTGGCCTTTTCCGGCCGTTGCGGCCACAATAGGCCGTAGATCTGACCTTTTCCGGCCAGATCCGTGGTGGATCTGGCCAGAAAAGGCCATAACAATGCGTTACAACACAGATCCAACTGGTCTATGTCATAACATGATTTTTTGGTCAGATTCCGACGGTGGTGGCCGAAATCTGGCACTGCAGGTGGTGGGGGTGTTTTTGTCATTTTATATATTAGGGTATTTAATTAAATTAGCAAACCTATGAGCTTTTTCATAAATTTTTAAATTTTACCTCGTAATACTCCCCTATCCAACTACCCAATATTATTTCCAAAATCCTATCCAAAATAATAAACCAACGCACTCATATATTATATTTATTTAATTATTGTTATATCAATCCTGAGTAATTCTAACTATAACCATGTTATATATATTGAAATATTTTATGTATTATATTTATTTAAATTTTGTTATATCAATCGTGAGTAATTCTAACTATTATTATTTTTATGAGCTAAATAACCATGTAATAACTATTGAAATATTTTATATATTATATTTATTTAAATATTGTTACAGTAAAACTTCTTTATAGTGATACTCTATATAAGAATAAATTCTATATAGTCATAAAAAATTATATTCCTAACTTGAGATAGTTATAAATAAGAATAAACTCCACATTGTAATAAATTATAATTTTTCTAATTTATATCTTAAGGAAGGTTTCTTACACATAATAATAATTATATGTATATTACAAAAAAATATATTGTTTGTTACATTGAAGATTTAAGATGAAATAGAATATTTATTTAAAATTGTTTTGGATAATGATTTATACTTTAGAGCTATTACCACATCTTTTAACTTGCCAGTACATTACTCACTAACATAGACATGTTCTTGTTGAAGCCAAAATATTTATAGCTTCTCAAACATGTTTGGAGCTTTTTGGCATGAAACTTTTTGTATTTTCGTACTATCATCCTCATGATTATTTCCTTTCTTTTCTTGTGTAATTATATCAATGATTTATTTTTCAGTTAAAGTATATATGACTTGTTGCTCATTTGAATTATTGAGGAAGACATTAATATTCATTCGATTAGTGTAGTGAAGCTGTCAAATCTGATCACTCAATTCTACAATGACTCTTTCATTTTTCTCATCTACTTTATTTATAACTTGCAATTCATCGACATCAGAGATCCTAATTTTGTAATGTTTAAAACAATTAGCTATTGTCTATGGCTTCACATCAGTTTAACCATGCAGCAATTGTATTTACAATTCCATCAAAGACACTTATCTTTGCTGGTTCTAAGATACGATCTTCTATTCGTTTAAAAAATATACAATTGAAACGCTGAATTGAAAATATAATACTATTAAAACATGAATTAAAATCCTAATACTGTACTACTAAAACATGAATTATAAAATAAGAAATTTTTGTAACTATACTTCTATTAAATTATAACTTCCTCATAATAATAAAATTAATTAGTCTCACCATTATGACTATAGAGAGGTTTTACTGTATATGCGTTGTGAGTAATTCTAACTATTATTATTTTTTATTTGATAATGTTACTAGTTTAGTACTTAGTATATAATTTTCCGAATAACAAAATACAGTTGAATTTCCAAATATTAAAATATAGATAGATTTTTTTATTTTTTTTTAGAAATTACCTCAATATTCTCATAATTATTGGGAAATGACAACAATTGGTTGTAGCACTAATTATAAAATCTTTGCTTGCAAGGCAATCACAGTTTAATCTCCATTCGTTTCCAAATCGCAAACCCTAAGGAAAGTATATTTTGGAAAGTAATCGAATATAAATTTTGGATGGAAAAAAGTCATTTACTCTAAATTAGATGAGACAAAAAGTTTTGCCCATATGGAAATTGATTTTACATGTGTACCCCCATCAAATATTAATAATTGATTTAAGTTAAATAATCATTTTACCCCTCAATTTACTTTTTATATTATTAAGACAATTTACATTCAATGGATAACTTAGACTATATTGGGTTATGTTTGTTTAAACTTTCGTTTTATACGCTTGTAAATTTTACAATACACATCCGGTTATCAAAATTTGTTTTTGAATTTAAAAAAAAGGAAAAAATTAATTTAAAATTTTATGTCTAACATGTAAAACGAGTCTAACTTGTTATTTGCTTTTTTGATGAATGGGCGTATAAGACCAAAAATTTTGTTTTGCTATAAAATTTATTAGATATATTTTATCTCTTAATGATCATAATATTTATATGTTTTAGCAGCTTGAATTTTTCTTCTTACTTTGTGTATCCTTCATATTTTTGTGGATTTATATTATATTTATGTTGGTGGGTATGTAATGATTTTACATATTACATTTGTCTGCAGGTTTGCTTTGGAAAGTTTGACGCCTGAACCTCATGGACCTAAATTTATCCCTAATTTTTACATTATGCAAAAGCTCTGTTTCATGCTTCTTCCTTAAATATTTCTCTCTTTAATACAAGCTTAGTTGTATTAAGGGTGAGCACGTTGTCTGTCATGGTAGCTCTCATACGCAAATTCTCTACAGGGAGTTCCCTATATTATATCCCTAGAGAATTTATTCAACAAATAAAAACAGATAAAGCTCCCATTTCCTACTCTGAACATCAACGTGAAAAGAAAATCTTGGAAAACCAATTAATTTCCACACTTGATGGTTGTTATAATCTCCTACAAATTAAACAAGTACATGCTCAAATTATTCAAAAAGGCCT